TAATATCAGAGATAGATAAGATGTTATATGCTAATATTAGTAATAAATCAAATGTTATTGGCTAATATTGATTATATATTATATTTTATTAACTTATATAAGTAGTAAATTGGATGTGATAAATATATATATATAATATAAATTGACTGTTATTGATTTATATATATATCAGATCAGATATCATTTATTTATATATATACTAGATCAGCAGTGTTCAGCTTATATATGTATAAGATTGACTGTTATCTACTTATATATATATCAGATTGGATATCATATGTTTATATATAGTGCAGATCATTTGTTATTAGCTTATATATATACCCAATTGGTAGTCAACAACTTATATATATACCCAATTGGCAGTCAACAGCTTATATATATACTAGATTAGCTAATATCAGCTTATATATGTATGAGATAGACTGTTAATAGTTTATATATATATAGCTGATTGGCGGTCAACAATTTATATATATACCAGATCAGCTATCATCAGCTTATATATATATCAGATTGAGTATCATATGTTTATATATAGTGTGGATCACCTGTTATCAGCTTATATATATACTCAATTGGTGGTCAACAGCTTATATATATACCTGATTGGTAGTTAACAACTTATATATATATACCAGATTGACTGTTATCCACTTATACATATATAAAATTGATTGTTATCTACTTGTATATATATGAGATTAACTGTAATTAGATTATATATATATCAGATCGATGATTATTGGCTTATATATATACCAGATTGATGATTATTGGCTTATATATATACCAGATTAATAATTATTAGCTTATATATATATCAGATTGGCTGTCATCCACTTATATATATATCAAACCGGCTGTCATCCACATATATATATAGCAGATCAGCTATTATCCACTTATATATATAGCAGATCAGCTGTCATTTACTTATATATATATCAGACCAGCTGTCATCTACTTATATATATAGCAGACCGGCTGTCATCCACTTATATATATAGCAGACCGGCTGTCATCCACTTATATATATAGCAGATCAGCTGTCATCCACATATATATATGGCAGATCAGCTGTCATCCACTTATATATATATCAGACTGGCTGTCATCCACTTATATATATAGCAGATCGGCTGTCATCCACATATATATATAGCAGATCAGCTATAATCAGCTTATATATATATAGCAGATCAGCTGTCATCCACTTATATATATCAGACCGGCTGTCATCCACTTATATATATAGCAGATCAGCTGTCATCCATTTATATATATAGCAGATCAGCTATAATCAGCTTATATATATATAGCAGATTAGCTGTCATCCACTTATATATATATCAGACCGGCTGTCATCCACTTATATATATAGCAGATCAGCTGTCATCTACTTATATATATAGCAGATCAGCTGTCATCCATTTATATATATAGCAGATCAGCTATAATCAGCTTATATATATATAGCAGACCGGCTGTCATCCACTTATATATATATCAGACGGGCTGTCATCCACTTATATATATAGCAGATCAGCTGTCATCCACTTGTATATATAGCAAATCAGCTGTCATCCATTTATATATATAGCAGATCAGCTGTCATCCACTTATATATATATCAGACTGGCTATCATCTACTTATATATATATCAGACCGGCTATCATCTACTTACACTGGGGAATTAGATTTCTACACATATGCGATAGTATGGGAAATTCTGAGTGACAGAATAATTAAATTCTGGAATTTGGCATTTATAGATTCCGTTTGCAATATGTTATGTTACCTGTGAGTTGTCCATATAACTTCTGAACTTATAATGATCCATATAGAGATGTAAGGTTCTTTTAAACTATTTAATCGCAGAGAGAATAATCAAATTATGACATCTTTTTTTTTTGGATATTACATTAAATTAAACTTGATTTGAAACAGAGATTCCAATAAAAAATCTATTTTTGATAGAAAACTGTCTACTGAAATAGTAGAATTCTATTGGATTACTTTACAGAGAAAACTGTCTACTGAAATAATGATATTCTATTGGATCATTTAACAGAAGAAACAGGATTTATGTATACTGTCTTCCGAATCTAAACACTTTTATTGGACAATTATGCATGGCTAAACTATAGGATTCACACATGCCATGCTACTGCAATACTTCTTGCACTTCATTTCAAATATTTTTATAGGGATTGTTTTGGAAAAATTGTTTTTATTTAAAAAAAAAAAGCTTCTTGCTTATAATATGTACGGCTTGACAATATATAGTCTAATCTAATATATAAGCTACTACATAATTAATATAATAACAAACCCTTTCATATATTATAATATATAAATACTTCCAATACAATAGAATCCTAAAAAGAAACGCGTGTTTACGGTATTTCACTAGTAAGAGAAGGCTAAAAAATTATTCAATTATATTAGATTATATAAATATTTATTTTTCTTTAATTTAAATAATATGGTTACTTACCAGTACTTTCGTCAGAACCAGGCATAGTGCACATTGACTGTTGTTCTGAAAGGTTTAATAAAACGCATTAGTAAAGATCATGGAATAAAGTTTGGCTTTATTACTTACCAAAGAAAACCGGTTTTCAAAGACAAGCCATTCAATCAGGTACATAGAAATGTTGGCAGTACTAACAGAGATAGAAAATAAACAAAATTAGATATAAGAATAAAACAAATAAATACATTATTCAGACTTACCGGATAAATTTCTGCTGTTGGTATGTCTTTATGATGAGCTGAGGAGAGAAAAAGAAAATAATTAATAAAGAAGCACATACACAATAACCGCGTTTTACCTTTTTGTTCTTGTCCATTAATCAACATGGCAAAGACTTGTAATACTATCAGCAACCACAATAATAATAAAAGAAAAAACATTAAGAATAAATATAACAGTAGAATAATAAAAACAAATTGCTTACCAGGGTGTGAACTCAAATACATCAACCAGAATAAAAGTAAATAAAGCAGAAAAGAAACAGGAAAAAAATAAATAAGAAAAAAATAAAGAAAAAGAAAAAAAAGTGGGCTTTCAAACAGAAGGCAGTTTAGATGAGAATTGACTCTAGTAAAATACAATAGTAATAAAATGAATAGTCCGAAATTATATTGTAACACTAAGTTCTATGTTGAATATTAAAGAAGTTGTTCAAGGTTATAAAGGATTTTATAGAAAATAATATATAATCCCTTCCTTTTCTCAGCTATTTCATAAATCTACTTTATATTAACATATTTTGTATGTATATCTTTGATTAAACAAAAATAAATATATTTCAACCCATACATTTATTTTATTTTAATAATTTATTAATGTATAAAACTTTAATAAAAATACAATAAAGAAAAAATGCCTTCCAATAGCAGCAGAAAAACAGACCGTAAAGGAAAAGGAAAAGCATCTGCAAGTATATCTACCTCTGCAAACCGTGTTTTGGCTGGCCGTGTTGGACCTCAAGAAATTGCCCCCAGTTTCTCATCCACAACTATCCAAGATCAGCGATACGCGGAAATTGTTGAAATGTTTAACAAAGTAAACAACAATATCAATGGTGTCAAGGATGACATTGCTGCTGTCAATAGCAACATGGCAGCCTTTAAAAACAGGATGGGCGTTGTTGTTGACACGTCTGGAAAGACACATATGGCATTTGCAGACTTTGCAACTGCCTATGCCAACAATCAGACTCGTATGGCTAGTCTAGGACCATCTCTGATGCCATCCTATGTCCCCCAGACCTCCCTCAGTGATGCCGAGGTTTCTGTCATTATCTTGGTAATTAATATTAATATATGTTAGTATCAACAACTTATTAAACAACCTGTATTTAGGAAATCTTCGCGGAAAAGTTGTGGGACTGGAAGTTCGAGTCTGACGACCCTGCTCTTGTTGCTGAGAACGAGAGTAAGAAGAAGTGGAACTTGAACGAGAAGATTAACCACTGCGATAACGTAGCTGTTATCAACTACTTGAAGAGCTACATTAGCGCCCAGACTCGTCTAGCTGGTACTCACCCACGGGTGATAAGTGATAAAATAAAGAACAGGTACAAGCACAGTCATCGTACTTTTCACGAGTCTCCTGAGCAGAAGGCCAAGAAAAACAGCAAGGGGAGAGCAAACAGTCGTACTCTTCAGGTTTGTATATACTATATAAAAAATTAATTGGTATATTACTATTTTCTCAAGCTACAATCTATATAACCAGATGTCTATCCGACGCAAGTCGACATAC